CGTGCCTGCACCTCGGCATTGCCTGGGTGGTTTCGCAAGGCTTCCACCAGGACATCGAGGGCTCCCAAGCTGAAGGTCTCTGCCCTGTGCTCTTCAGACTGTTCAAAATGGATACACAGATCGACCAGCGTGCGGCTCCCCTTCACAATTAGCTCCGCATCACCACTCTTCAGCTGCTCGGTGGAACCCTGGACGCTATTCGCCATGGTGCGTAAGGAACGTCCTGGAGGACATCACATTGTGGGCCCATCGCAGCTCGACTAATGCTCAACAGGGCTGGCTCAGGCAGATGATACCCTGCTTAGACTCCTGCTTAGGCAATACAAAATTTGAACCGTGCTTGGACATGATCATGGTTTGGCAAAGTGGACCTGCGAAGACGTATCTTTTGACCTCCTGTCAAGCGATCATGATGTCAAGTGACCCTGCAATGCACTGAGATGAGCCATTTAAGGCAAGTTAAAGAAAAGCTAAGGAGATCTAAGGAGCTATCTGTTCGTGACTCTTGCCATACAGAAATTCGAAACATGTGGAACATGTGGACCTCTTGTAGCCTATGACGAAGCAATGCTGGACATCCGGAGAAGTTCTGTGCACAGTAACCAAGGCCCATGCCCTGCCCTTCGTCAATGTTCTTCGCAGCCTGCACCGCTGAGGATTTTGGAAAAGACATGAGTCTTCGACCCCTAAGACAACCCATTTTGGCACGGCAGGTAACTCGACATATTGATTCCAATTCGGTGAGTTTTGATCCTCTACAGGCTGGGTGGTTTTTGGACCACACATCCCCTCATCATGATTCACTTTTGCTCACTTTCATGCCCATGACTTTATGCGCATGGCTCGTCTTCTCCGAATTCCATCCACGTCTTTCCACGTCTTCTCCGATTTCCCGGTCCATCTCTGCGGGCGTCTCGATGCAGCGCGCGCCGAGCGGAACCACGTCCAGCCTCGGCTGACCCGGCAGGCGTGTGGTGTCAAAAGAAAAAGGCTGGGGCCACCGCGATTGGCACATCTGACTATCTGACTGCTGGGGGGCATTTTTGTTTAGTCATTGGGGAGGCCTCTTCTAGTGTTGCTTGTATATTGGTAACGAGCGAACATCACCTGACCAGGAGGAATCCAAGACAGCAAGATTTCCCAGTACCCGTGGTGGAGCAGGGGTGAGCACCTGGTTCAAGAAAATACCACCAATCCAAGTGCTGCTTCAATGGGTTGCTAATTCAGAGAATCCCTACAATGACAAGAGTGGCAGTATCCTTGCACTATCCTTCCTCTTCGGCAATTGTAGACATCACGGCAAGGCTAAACTTGGACCATGCTCCCTGGTCATTTACATCATACTCGTCAAATGACCATCAAACGGAGCATTCGTTTTTCACCACTCCAGGGACTCTTTAATGAATTATACTTTAGGATGCTTTCCCTGAGTAGAACAGATTATCTGAAGCAACGAATAGCTTATTAAGCGCCTTTTGTTGCTCCAAATGTGTATGGGAAAACCCTTTGGGTTGGCGCAATCAACACGGTACCAACATGGCCAAAAAGCCCGGTAATCCGCGCTGGTGAACTTCCAACCGGTCACCGGTCTCCACCCGGTCTGAGACCTCCAAACACAGTGGCAGGTCTGAGGGTCACGAAGTCGGGGTGGCCGTGGCGCCTGGTGGGCATGAAACGGTTTTCTCTTCACTGTGCTCAGTTCACTGGGACCTGAAGTTCATCTGTTTGCACCTAAAGGTTTTCTTTCAAGTTCACCGGTTTGACCTCAGTTTTCATTTATTGAATTCGAAAACATGAAGGTTTTCTTTCAAAACCGGTTCTCAGTTTCTTGAGTTCACTGGGCTCGTTCTTTTGCAGTTGAACACTCTGAGATTCAGTGACGACTGGGAGGTGGTTTTACTCCAGTCGAGTTGTTGGTCGGCAGTTGTTGGTCGTTGGTCGGCTGGCGCGCGGTCAAGATGAGTTGAGTTGGACACATATTGGGACACTTCACCTAAACCGGTTTCAGCGCCAAGAAGTTCTTCCTCCTCCTTTGAGGCTTCCTCTTGGAGGGATCTAGTGATGCTGCAAGGTTAGACCGATTCCAGAGTGATGACCTGTTGAACTGCGCTGTGTGTGTGTGTGCGTTCGGATTCAACTCGAAGCTTTTTAAGCCTTGAATGCTGGCGTCATCCTTTTGTCGATGTCAGTGATCCGTCTGGGAGCCCGGCCTAGATATGGTATCTCTGGTCTGAGCACACTGAAATCCTGAAGGATGCGAGTTGGGTGGGCGACTTTGCTGGGACAACTCCATCAATCCCACATATATAGATTTATCCCCACTCAAGGTTGATAAGAATTCATATTCCTTTTGGCAGATAGCTTCTCCAGGTGGACAAGAAAGGAATTTTTGGGACTACAATAAAAGCTATTCACATCCAAAAAGGATGGCATGCCTCAAGCTTCCCACGGCTCTAGCCCTACATGCGATTCTCCACCGCTTGGACGTGGCCGGCCTGGCATTCCCGCTGGTTCGGCTTCACTGGTTCAGACCTGAAGGACCGGTGGACCGAGGCGGCTTCGAGGCGGCTTCAAAGGGGGGTTGAATTGCCGTGCACCTGAGAGGTGGATCCGTACCTGAGCAGGTCTTAAATTGAAACTTGCTATTCAGCATATCAGCATATCTCTATGCAAGCATTTTCTGTACATACCTGTTTTGCACCACATGTCCCAGACATCCTCGCGCAAATCGGACTTCATGGGAACATTTGGAGAATTGTGACATTTCAGAATGACATCGAGTTGAACCGCAGGTATATATCGAGTTGTCAAATCATCAACTCAAAGGTTCACGAAAATGATTGATACATGCGGCAGCTAAAGCTGATGTGATGCGTCTTAGATTTGACCAAGTCCCCCAAAACAGTGTGCGATACAAGTTCTTTTCAGCCTTCCCCACCCATCAACATTGTTAGGAAGGAGTCCAGGAGTCCTTCCCACCATCTGCACACGAAGCTCAGGGCTGCCCTGCCACTTTTACTAAGTGAAGTTCCTCGCATCGATCTACTTGCTCTCTCTCTCTCTCTCTCTCCCTCTCTGTCTGTTTGTCTGTCTGTCTGTCTGCTCCGGAAAAAAGGAGTTCGCTTCACCCGAACCTCTAGACTTCTTCGTTCCACTCGCGTCGAAAAAAGCGTGGCCCAGCATGGTTTTAACAGGTCAAGGCTCCCCTTTTTCATCCTCTTTTTCTGGGGTTAGGACTTCCAGTTAAGGAACTGGCCCATCATGGCTGTCGACATTTCCAAGGTGGTGGAGTCTGGAGTGCTTTCTCTAGGCAGTGAGTTTCTTCCTCTGCCTCAAATTCGTGAGGTCTTTCATCACCTGCCAACCAGATGCACCTCTGAGTGGTTCATCTGTAAAGGGCGAGATATCTGAGATCATCTGCCACCTTGCACCCCTAGGATGTTCATCTGTAGAATGCAAACAAACTAACACACATCCACTCCACCTCCATGATCCTCCTTCCGCCTCTTCCGCCCACCATCGGCCGCATCGTCCGCACCGGCGGGGCTGCCTGAGCAAAGAGGGGCGCCCAAACCAACAGACCTCCAAAGGGCCATTTGCAGTGGTATAAGGGGAGACCGTGAACCAATATAGAGGAAGAAAGAACGGGCCTCAGGTTTCTGGTGGGCCTTTTTTTTTGGCGGCAGGTTTTACGCATTTTTGCATGACTTTTGCAT